GACATCCGTTGGAATTCCGTTGGAATTTTTTTTTTAAATTTCCAAAAAAAATTCCAACGGATATCCGTTGGAAACACCGTTGGAAAATTTCAACCCTAATTTTTTCAATTGAATACGTTGAAAATTCCGTTAAAAATTTCCAACGGGCGATTCCAACGGATATCCGTTGGAAATTTTCAACGGATTTTTAACGGAAATCACCGTTGAAATGCCGTTGAAAACCGTTGAAAATCCGTTGAAAAATTTCCAACGGATAAATCCGTTGGAAAATTCGTTGGAATTTGCTGATTTTTTTGTAGTGACGTCGGTTTTTCGTGTCTCGGGATGTCGTCTTCTTCGAAGATAAATTTCCGTTTCTCGATGTTCCGGTGGCTTCCCCTCCTGCTGTTTCGGTTTCACCAGATTCTTGGCCTGTGTTTACCGACTTCGACGACTCTGTCATTGTGTCGGCGCCTCCGACACCTCCTGTTCTAGCAACTGCTTCGACGGATTCTGATATGTGTCATCCTACTTGTGCTGGTGACGATTCTGGGTCACCGGATGCTACGGATTCGATCCAGTCCTCCGAGGATGTTGACGACAGGGGGGCTCCTTGGTTCACCCAACTGATGCTGTCCCAGACGAGGAACTGGGTCGTGGCAAAAGAACTCGTTTTCCTTCTACCCGTCTTCACGACTATGTCACGAACACCGTCCAAGTCTCGCGTTCGTCCCCTGCTCAACCCGACTCTCGTATTTCAGGTTCGCTGTATCCTCTCACCCATTCTGTTAATTGTGTTCGATTTTCTCCTGCTCACCGTGCCTTCTTGGTTGCTGTAACCGACGGGTTCGAACCACGGTCATATAAGGAAGCTCTTCGCGACCCTCGGTGGTCAGTAATCGCACTTGGACAGTGGAAACACTTCCATTGGGTAAGAAAGCTATCGGATGTCAGTGGATTTTTAAAATCAAGTATCGCTCTGATGGATCGGTTGAACGATACAAAGCTCGGTTGGTAGTTCTGGGTAATCGACAAGTAGACGAGTTAGATTATGGCGAGACTTTTGCTCCAGTGGCCAAAATGGTTACTGTGCGTACATTCTTGGCTGTCGCTGCGGCTCGGCATTGGGAGATTCATCAGATGGATGTCCATAATGCTTTCTTACATGGTGATCTCAGAGAAGAAGTCTACATGCGCATGCCACCTGGTTTCGAGTCTCCGGAACCCGGTATTGTGTGTCGTCTTCGCAAATCCTTATATGGCTTGCGTCAAGCTCCGAGATGTTGGTTCGAAAAACTTCGGTCGGCTCTTCAGAAGTACGGGTTTGTTCAGTCCCAATCGGACCATTCCCTCTTCACTTTCCGCGACGGTATCGTACACTTGTGTGTTCTCGTTTATGTCGATGACTTAATTATATCCGGCAACTCACCCATTGCTCTTCGAACTTTCAAGTCTTATCTCAGCTCATGTTTTTATATGAAAGATTTGGGTGTCCTCAAATATTTTCTCGGTTTGGAGGTTGCTCGGAACAACGACGGGATTTATATTTACCAACGGAAATACACCATCGACATAATCTCCGAAGCCGGTTTGCTTGGTTGCAAACCTGCTCAGTTTCCATTAGACCAGAACCACCGTCTCGCTCTCTCCGACAGCCAGTTCTTGTCTGATCCCGGCAAGTACCGTCGTCTTGTGGGTCGGCTCATCTATCTCACCGTCACTCGCCCAGAGCTCTCCTATTCGGTTCACGTTCTTTCTCAGTTTATGCAGAATCCTCGGCAAGATCATTGGGACGCTGCACTTCATGTTGTTCGCTACCTCAAGCGTGATCCAGGCCAAGGTGTTCTGTTTCGCGCCGAATGCGATCTGCGATTACGTGGATGGTGCGATGCCGACTATGCTGGTTGTCCACTCACTCGTCGATCTCTGAGTGGGTGGTTCGTTCAACTTGGCACATCTCCGATTTCTTGGAAGACAAAGAAGCAATCCATACCATCCTTATCCTCGGCAGAGTCCGAGTATCGTGCTATGCGGCTAGCTACGTGCGAGCTAATTTGGATCAAGAGTCTCCTTTCCTATTTTGGTGTCACACATTCGGACCCGATGCTTTTGTTGTGTGACAGCCAAGCAGCTCTCCACATTGCTTCCAATGACGTGTATCATGAACGCACGAAACATATTGAAGTCGACTGCCATTTTATTCGACACCACCTTGATCGGAGGAACATAATTACACGCCACGTCTCCACTCGTGAGCAACTCGCAGACATTTTTACTAAGGCTTTGGGCAAGAAAGAGTTTTCGTGGTTTATCGGCAAGTTGGGAGTACTAAGCTTGCACTCACCAACTTGAGGGGGGGGGTATTGGGCGAGAATATTCCGTGTATATCATGTATAATACGAGATATGGGTTGTTACCTTGTTGATAGGATCTGATAGAATTTCATCCCTTGTACAGCTAGGTTTAGTTACGTCTCTTTGTGCATATAAGCCTTGGTGGCCATGAATAACACAACAAGCATTCGCAGTACCGATTTCCTGTTCTTTGTTCTTGCTGCGATTGCCGTCGTGACATTAAATAATAACAATTTGAGTCCAGTCAGTTTAAATATTTAAGATAGTTTATAGAGTTCAGAGAGATGAATTTGTGATATTGAAAGGATTAAATTTATAAAATTAAAATAGCTTGGAAAAAAGTGAAATCTAAATTTTATGGACATTATAAATTTTAGAATGAAAACATAGAAACATGTTAGATATATATACATGAATCTAACATGTTCTTATGTTTTTTTTATAATTCTAAATATAACCAAACTACAAAAAGGCTTCAGCGTTAATTAATTAATTAACACATAGGAACATGTTAAATATACGTGAATCTCGTTTAAAAAAAAAACAAAAGCATTCTGCATTCATGACATGTTGAGATAAAAAAGTAAATGAGTCAGACAAGAAGAAAGAACATTGATGGCGGTGAAGAAGACGGAGACGGCGGAGAAGAGCAGCCATGGTCGGGCTCCGGCGGTGGAGCTGCGTTTCAGATATGGTTTCCGGCCGGAGCTTCCCCCGCCGGTGACTCCTCGACCTCTCTGTCCCTTTCCCACGCGAATTGCACCAATACCCTTCTCGTCGACTTCTTCTCCGATTACGCCATTGAAAAACTCTATGCAAGAAAAAAAAACATACACACGAGAACACGCAAAAAAAAAATGATATCAACGACCATAATAGAAGTGACTTATTTGGTTAGGCATTATATAAAAAATAACTTGTTATTTTAATTTTGGTCGTAACGTTAAATTTACGCTGATCACACCCATTCATTATGTTCATATCTTATATATCTCACTAATTATTTGATAAAAATATTATAAATTCAATGTGATCAAGATTAAATTCCTAGTCACATAGGTCACAGAGTCAGAGATGTAGAATGATATATCTTGAAATCAAAATAGTAAAGTAGAGTATTTTTTATAATGGCCCATTTGGTTAATACCTCAATAACTGAATCCAGATCTGAGCCGAACCAAATAAAAAAATAACAGAAAAACTCTATTTTTTTTAACAAACCAAAATAACCGAATCCAAATCAAATATAATCAAATCAAACCGAATTCAATATAAAAACCAAATGATTATAATTTTTCTAAAACCGAAATGATCGAATTCAAATATAGCCAAACCGAAACACGAAGAAGCCACCGCTAGAACATAATACTTAGAAGACAGATGTATACGATTGTTATTAAGAACTGCACCTTGAGCTCGTTCCGTGCCGAGTAGCGAGCTCGTGCTTGTAGATGGAACACGTTTGTGGGGTCTCGATGAGATGGGGAGGCAGAGAACACATAAGGAAAGAAAGCACAATAATGCAAAAGACTTAGGTTCCATTGTTGGGTTTTTTTTTTTTGTCTGAATCTGTGATTTTTTTTTTCCAATTCTTTTTATTTCTCTGATTGATTTGAGAGGAAGACCGGTGAGATGAGCCAACTATAAAGCAAAGATTGTACATCAGAACAAGAAAAAAAACAAGTGTGTGAGTGTGGGGTCCAAAATGTAAATGCTGTTGCATGAAGCACGAGGAGGATACATGTTCTTCTAGGGTAAGAAAAATAAATGTTTTTTTAATAAGAAAAATAAATATGTTTTTTTTTAATTCACCGGACATTTGATCTAACTATATCCGATCTGAGCGGGATAAGATACCATATTATAATTAAATCGCATCCTACCCCTAGACGACGAAAAATAAATATGTTGATAGAATATTATAATAAAAGATACCCATCTAATCATACGATTAAACACTCTATATACTACTCTCATTTTCCATATTACTCCCTCATAATTTTTTTAATAGATATCGTTTTAAATTCTTTTCTTCAATTTTTAAAAAATATAAAAAAATCATAAATAATACGTTAAGAATCTAAATTCTCATTAATACTTTATTGAAATCGGATATTTTTAATTCAGAGTGAAATTAAAAATTTTCGTAAAAAATCAATCATCTAAAACGATATCTCTATTTAGAATCAGTATTATTGTAGCCCGAATTCATGTGCCTGATATCTCTAATACCTCATATAAAGGGTAAATGAAAAAAAATAAAAATATCAGAATTTTGATTTACGAAAACCATTCATATACATATAGGAGGAGGAAACATAATAAATGGTATGAAAACAAATTAAATGAAGCGTGAAGGAAAAGAAAAAGATCTGGGCAAAGACCAAAATCAATCATATTGGGGAATCTTTTTTTTTTGTTGGGTGGTTGAATATATTCTCAGGGAGGGTGTGTCATATCAACAAAGACGAGACAGTCTCTTCCCACTTATCTAATGGAATAAAGGCAACAAAAGACAGATTCCGCCACGCCATTTGGGGGACCATTGTAGATGGCATATGTTTATTGAATTTGAGAAAACTCAAAATCGGAGCCCGGCATATCATAGTAGGGATGAGTTCGAGTTTTGAAATGAATAACTCGTCGGATTCAAATTCGATTCCTCTAAAAATTTTGGATACCCGATCCGTGTCCACCTGTAGGAGCAGGAGTTTTAAATTATTTTGAGGGGCTTGGATATGATATTTTTCCCAGCTTTTTCTTTGCCACGTGTCGACCTTCAAGCCCATCATGGCCCAAATTTAGAGTCCAATCTCATACTGGACCCACATGGACCTAACCATCAAGCCCATTAAGGCCCAATCGTTATAAGCTCTTCCAGTCCCGTCTTCTTCCATCTCCATGTGATACCGACTACTCTCGGTTTGACGAGACGGCCATGATAGAGGCGAGGAAGAAGAAACCGGAAACCACAACCGCCCTTTCCGGTGATGGTTCGGTCTCAGCTTCGGTAGCGTTTTCTGTTTACTTGGTTTCTGGGTTATTCCTGGCCGTCGGATTCTGGGTGGCCCATAATGTCTACGCCGTCGATCTTGTCTCCGATCCGTATCGCACTCTCCGTCTCATCTGGGTACTCTTTATCGTTGATTTGTTCAATTTCTTTGAGCTGAGTTTTCAGGAATTTAGTTTTGATTCGAAGTTTTTCTTCTTCAGAGTATCGAATTTCCGGTCGTGGCAATCGTCTACAGCTTGTTCAGACAAAAGCCAGATGAATGCTCGGTGAGTTTTCTCTCGTTCGGACAGTTTCTCTGCAACCTTAGTTTCTGAACTATCTCGCTGTTTCCTAGTGGATTGTTTATGAAGTTGGCAAGACAACAAAGTTTTGCACTTTGGAGCTACGGATTCTTCTTTGTAATACACACAGTTTCCGAAAGAGTTCGTGTCTTTTCAAAGTGTTTGAGTTTCGTTTCTCTGCATGTGTTAGTAATGGTGCTCGTAATGGTTTTGTCTTTCATTCCAGTACTGGAGAGCTGCTGCAAGGAGCATAATAGGCTTAGTTACTGGTTAGTCATTCAGCTCCATTAAAATTTATCTATCAACATTAGTCGTTTCTGCACTGCATTTGAGTTCACATGAAAATTCGAGGTGCTTACCCAGAACCAAATCCGACCATGTGAAGAACTGTTTCTCACTCGTATCTCTCTTGACCATAGCTTGCCAAGGCTTCTGCTATTTGTCTGGTTCAGTTCCATATCTGATTCACTTGATATCTCCGATCGCTCATAACTACTTTAAAGGGTTGAGATTTGCTCAGATTGCTGCTGGGTTTGTCTAAGCCTCTGTTGTGTTTTTACTGTAGGGGCTCTGGTAAACGCTTTAGGAGCAATTGTTTTGGGTGCACCTGTTGGCTTGCAGTAGGTTCCATCAAGATTTTGTTTATCAACAACGTCTTCGTAGATTTCTGAAATCAGAAATGTTCTTGAAATATTGATTTGGACATCCTCGACCATATTTTTTAAACTGATCAAGGGCAAGAAATAAACCCAATAGAGTATCTCAGAAACACAGGGGAAACATGATCTACTGATACTGTCTCTGCAGTTTACTGATACATTGTTTGCTTGTCCCATGCAGATATCTATGGAAAACCATTAATTGGTCCCTTCTAATGTCAGTTTTCACCGTAAGCTCTGACCTGAAATACTTCCATCTGATGCAGAAATAATGACAGCAGTTCCAGGACATCCCTTAGATTGTGTCTGATTTTTTTTTTTTTTTGCTCTCACAGTTTGTACCAGCAGCTGCAGTTTTTGGTGCATCATGGGCAGATTGGCATCGTATGTTTTCTTGCATGAAGTAAGTCATAAACTATATATCATAATTCACACACAAATTTCGGTTATGTACTAAGATAAGATGAAAAGTGGCTTCTTTATGGTTGATCCCACCACCACCACCACCACCACAACGACAACAACATCGCCTTAATGCCAATTTTATTTGGAGTCAGCCGCATGAATTCTTCTTTTCCACTCATTTATGGTTGATCCCATAATCTGAAAAAATCCATTTGATGATATATGAGTGTTAAAATCTGTACCATAGCTTTGAGCAACCATCGATTTGTACCTTCAGGCCAACTTCAAACAGAGATTATATGATCACTGTTCCGGCCTATGGAGCTATCATTGGAGCATGGTTTGGAGCTTGGCCTATGCCACTCGACTGGGAAAGGCCATGGCAGGTAATATCTCCATCCTCGTTTCGTCATCATTCTCTTGATAAAATTCTCCCTTTTCTCTGGGTTACGATTTGATCAGAATGAACTTCTGAGTTCTGAGCATGCAGCTGATACTTTAATGATTTTTTTTTCCTTTTCTTTTCTGGGTGAAGGAATGGCCTATAAGTGTGAGTTATGGAGCCATTGGAGGCTATATTGCCGGAAAGCTGGTTTCTTTGGTTTTGATTATTTTCAAGAAGAGACATCTGAATGCTAAGCTAGATTAGGCTGCCTAATTCACCACTGCAAGCTTTGTTTCTTGGAATACAAGTAACCCACAGAAAATTGGAACTCACATTTCTTGAAGCACAAGTCAAAATTCACCATCAATGATTCTACAAACTTGTGTGATTTGAGATGACAGAAACTGGCTTTTGATTCAAGAGATCGGCCAAAATTGAGAGAAAAAAAAGGAAATGTCAACCTCTTCTTCCTCGTTTCCTCTTCCTGTCGACTCTCTTGCTAGCAGAACCGGAAGATAATGTATCGCTGGCAGAATCTGAAGAACTAGAGCTGGCAGATGAAGATCCTGATTCTGAATCTGATTCAGATTCCGAAGCTTGTTTCTGCTGTTGCATGATAAGCTGAGGCATATTCTTGAGGTATTCTCTAAGATTCTCTGTAATGCCTCCAAGACCAATAGATGTAAAGAAGTTGATTGAGAATCTTGTGTTCTTGAGGTTGTCCTTGGGGAAGATAGCTTCAAAAGAGTCCTGCATTGTTGGATCTTGAAGTCTCTCGTTCAGCAGCCGTATACCCAGATGCTCTGACAGTTCCTGTCACATACACAATGAACAATGAACACATTCTGACAAAACATGAAACGGCAGACCTGGAGAAAGATCCCCTTTTTCCTCATTTTTCAAAAGAAAGACTAACAAGAAGCAAGGGCCCAGTTTCAAGAATGATGTAATAGTGACAAGTCTTGCACTAAAACGAATGTCTCCAGACAGAAAATGTGTATCTGAAATTGGAAGATCCCTTTTTCACCATTTTCCAAAAGACCGACCAGAAGCAAGGAGCCAGTTTAAAAAATGATGCAATAATGACAAGTCTTGCACTAAATTGAATGACAGAGACAGAATTAGAAGGAATATTGGTTACCTGGAAAAGTTTTTTGATGAAGATACGGGATGATGAAGTGGTGTCCTCCTCAGTTAAACGATTGTAGGCAAGAACATGCCAAGGAAGAGCATCTGTGCCTAGCAGATGAGCGAAAAACTTTGCCACATTACGCAGCTTATTTGTCTCGAGCCGATGGATCATGGAGTACTGTTGAACAAAACATTTCTCGGAATTCTCTTGGTGAACTTTGTTGATCATGCAGAAGCATTGTCCTAACAAACCTTAGTACCGTAGATAAGTTCTCTCCTGGCTGCAGCATTCCAGAAGCATAATGCATAGCTCCATCTGCAAATTCAGATTAAATACAAATGCAAGCTTCATTTATATCATGAAGATCATGAAAAACTTGAGCAATTAGGAAAACCATGAGTTCAAAATGAGAAACAAAGCCTAAGAAATTGTTAAGAGAGGACGAGAAAATCTAAGCCATGATCTAGAAATATGATTAACACTGGCTTTAGTAGGATTACCTCTTGTCCTGGTTCAAGTTTTATCTTGAGCAACTTGTGACCAGCTTCCTCAAAGTCAACGCTGGACATTATCGTCAGATATATTGTCCTCCTCAAATTCACAAGGTTAGTCTCTGTCTCATCGTTTATTTTCGTCCTTTCTTCGTCTTCTTCGTCAGATTCCTCTTCTTCATTGTCGTCTTCATCCCCAGAACCAGCATCCGAGCCATCTTCATCCTCAGATTCATCACCAAGAATACTATTCTTCAGTTCCTCATACTTCTTTTCATTCTCGAGGAAGTCAGGATCAGGTTTGAAAATATCTGCGACCGAAAAGAGAAAACGGTGTTATTTCAGAGTCATATAAAAATGTCATTAAAAAAGTACACTAAGTATAATCTATATATATAATACCGAGAGCAATTTCTGGATTTATCTCGTCTTGGAGAGAGATCTCGTGCGTCAATTGATCTTCAGGCTCCACAAGATCCAATTCAGGACGAACAGCCGGGTGACCCTGAGTACAGGGGATTCATATAGTTATTAGATGAGCCTTCTGTCATATGTGGGGGAACAACAAAAAAAGTCATATAAATCTTCATCCATGATCCATCGAAGTTGAACCTAAAAGATTATTTACCTGGAATTTAGCTTTCCTAATGGCAAATAATCCTTCGATGAGGAACTGAACTCTCTTATCTATCTCTCCCTCATGAAGAATACCATGAAACCGCTCAAAAATCCCTGTATTGTCAAACAATAACCGAAAATAGCTTAGGAAGACAGATGTCAATATGATGTAGCATGAAATACAGAGGCAGTGATACATCTCGACGACAACATTTTCTAAAACAGAACAGGTGATCAGATAGATTTTCAGATATAAGCAGCCAACCTTGACATGCCAATACACATATTACTAACATATATAACCATGCTGAAGTCACACACAATAGGCAAGAATGTCGTTTTCAATACTCACGGACTAATCACAGATCCACTGAACTAGGTGAAGCAGGCAAGTAGAGCAGCCACTCAAGAAATAACGTTATAATTTTCTCTTGAAGCAAACTTGATTTCAGCAACAGAAAAAAAAAAACGAGGGAGAAGTTGTCACCGTGCAATCCTTTTGGTGAAAGGTCTTGAAGCATAGCACCACACTCTGTCACAAACCCAACAGCTACCTCAACACTGTCATCACTCGGGTTCTCTAGTAGCACCGTAAGCAACTCCAAAGAAATGATCTCGTGAGCTACTTGCTGGTTTACTAAATGTGCTATGAATTTAACAGCAGCAAGTAATTGAGGCTGCAACAACAAAATTAAAACATATAAATACAAATTGTTATTCTTTCAATCGATGTAGGAGAATAATATTACAGAATGGGGAGACAAATGCAGATCTTGTCATTACGCTTATAGGCCCTCTTAAGCTGCAAGACAATCTTTCTACTTCGGGAAATTTGGCGTTGACAACAGCAACTAGTGCTGCGAAAATGTCCGTGAAACCAGGCGATGCCATTTGAGACTTCATGCATGAACGGCAGAAAAGACCCCTCCCCCTGATGAGATTTTCAGCAAACAGCTCCGGGATTATATTCTTGATGTTGCTGGCATTCACCTTATTCACGAGCCCGTTAATACTTTTACGAAGAGCATCCCATGTCAGACGCTGATATTCAACACTGCTCTTATCTTGCACCTCCTTCATCATCCGTGCGAGTTTGAATGGAGGAATGTAAACGCCGCCGCTCCTTCCCAAAGCCAAGGGATCATCAGATGCATTGGCTTCTTGCCCTTGCCCCTGCCCCTTGGGCTTTGAATCCTCCTTATGCATATCATCTCTTCTCTCTTCTCTTTTCCTAGAACTTCTGCTGTCTTCCTTTCTCTCCGTTCTTTCCTTTTCTCTTTCATCATCACACCCATCTCTGTGTCTCCTCTCCTTTTCATCTCTAAGTCCCTTATCATTGTGTCGCTCTGAATCTCGTCGTGAACCAGGATGCCTGTTCGGCCATCAGCCACATCTTTCTCCCTTCTATCTCTCTTAATTCCACCAGCAACCTGTCTCCTACCTGCCCTCTCTTTTCCTCTTCTGTCTCTCTTAATCTCACCTTCCTCATCTTCATCAGATACTCGGTCATCTCTATGTCTCCTCTCTCGTCCTCGTATATCTCTTCTGCGTCTCTCCCTATCATCTTCTTCGTCAGATGATGTATCTGTTCTGACCCCATCTCTATGAATCCCCTCTCTATCCTGTTTCTCCCTATCTCGGAAGCTTCTCTTCCTTCCTCTCCTCTCATCACCATCTTCAACCTCTTCTGTTTCCATCCTATCTCCCTTCAGCTCACCTTCTTCATCATCTGAACCTCGACGAACTCTATGAATCATTTTCCTGTCTTCTACATTCTTAGACACTTGCCCCTCTCCTTCCTCATCCTTACGCCTTCTCTCCCTTTCCATCCCCTCGTTATCACCATCTTTATCCACCCTCACTCTTCTTCTTCTCTCTCTGTCTTCATCTTCATCTGAACTTGGAGGACGTTCTCTTCGACCCCTTCTCGGCCGTCTCTCTTCCTCATCATCAGAAGACGAATCCGCTCTAACATTACTGCCCCTGCGGCTTCTTTCTATGTCCTGTCTATCCCTCACATTTCTGGGGCTTCTCTCCCTGTCCCTTCCCTCGCCATCATCTCTTTCTCTCCCATCTCTCTTCAAAATTCTGCTTCCATCATCTTCACCATTAACCTCACGCTCCCTCCCTCGCTTGTCTCTACGTGAACTCTTATCACCTTCTTCGTCCGAAATCCCGGCCCGACGCTTCTCGTCTCTATCCATTTCAGACCGCCTATCACCATATTCATCATCTGGGCTCTCACTCTCTCGTCTTCTTCTGATGAACTAACATGCCTTCCCATGGATGAAAATTTCGGTAACCCAAAAGTAATTGCAAATCGAAAGCAACAAAATTTCATACAAAAACCCTAAACCATAAATAACTAAATAAACCCTTGATTGCCACCACAATCCCTAATCGAGAGTTTCCTCGAGAGATCATAGTCCCCGGCGCGGGGAAGGTCGACGGGAAGGACACCACACTGGGAGGGCGAAATCTTTGATTTGGACTTTGGGTCGTCATGTTCCTTAAGCCGACATGAAGTTCTTATACTGATCCTGAAAACGGCACGAAGTGTTGTTTAGGCTTTTCCATGGGTCGGTCCCAGAAAGAGGAGAGTAAAGAATTAAATGGGCTAAAGACCCATTTAAGATATCAGTTATAAAGAAATAGGCCTCGCGGATCAGAGGAACTAGTATTCTTTTTTATGCCCAACTTTTAGTTTGAAATAATAATAATAATAATAATAAATAAGACATTTAACAACTAATATTTGACCGAGAATAAAAAGAATAAACTATAAATCCATGCAGTAAAACTTTTAGAAATTCGAAACTTAAAAATGTGTTAGAAAAATCGGATGACATTCACATCACACCCCATCCAAAAAAGAAAAAAAATGTTTGATGACATCTGTTTCCGTGATTAATTTAAAAAAATCACATGCTATGATATATAGGTGGGCGTTTCGGTATTCAAACGGTTCGGTTCAGAAATGGTATTTTTGGTTTTATAAAAAATGTATCAAATTAGAACCGAATATTAAACAGTTCGATTTCAATATCGGTTCGGTTCGCAATGGTGTATATGTAGTCTTTATTTTACTTTTCTTTTTGAGAAATTGAAATAAGACCACCAAGTCCTCCAGATTTTTCGTAAAGTTATTTGTCGAATGGGGCACATATATCGAGGAAATTACTAACTTCAAGGAAGATTCCATCTGTTGATGGCATATACCCTCTCCAAAATTGCAAGATATTATTTATGATATTTAATTTTTTGGGATACCCTTATCAAAATTGTTTTTAACTGCAAATAGAAAATCTTATATTAAATATTAAAGAAAACACTGAAATATTAACTAAAAATATATTAATTTTTTTTATCTATGCATTAAATAATTTTTATTTTAAAAATATAAATTTCTTATTTTTTTTCAAAATTATTTGTTAAAATCCAATTATTCACTAATTTAAATAAAATATAAAATTGTTGTAATAATTTAAAAATATATAATTTACTAGATAACCAAATTATAAAATTTAGTTTTTTTAGAATTTTTTATGTTTTATTTTGATTTATAGATTATTGAAAGTTTAGATTAATATTTTAAAATAAGATATTTAAATATTTTAAACTTAGATATTTATTTATAGTAGTGAAAATTTTAAATGGATTTTTTAAAAAAAAATCGAGAGTTTTTTGGGTGTTTTTTCTCGAACAAAAATTGTATTTTTTTTCGCCACATAAAATAACGATATGTGTCTTACCAAAAAAAAATATAGCGATATGTGGATATATATGCCATTACATTTTCCTAAAATATAAACAAGGTTAGGGATTATTTAAATTTTCCTTTAAAAACGAGGGTAGGAAAAAAAACGAATGCATGAAAAATAAGCTAAGCAGAGGTGGGACCAAGTACGAAAACGATGAGAGACATCTGCTGTCCATTTGTAATCAAAACTCAAACCCCAAGCAAAGACCTCTTCTTCACCAAAACGCCAAATCATTACCGTCTGGGGATTTTCTTCGGATCCCTTGCACGTTATCTTCATCGCCCTCCCTCGTTCTTCTCACTCTCTCTCCAAATTTTCTCTCCACTAATTCTGGGTCTGGTGTTCTTTTCTTTCTTTCTCGTTTCTGGGTTTTGTTCCGTTGTCGGAATTTGATGTGCTGATAGAGATTTGATGGAGAAAGGAGTCAACGAGAGGAAGAAGAAGGTGGACGACGGGTTTTTGGGTGGGTTGTTTCCTGTTTCTACGACCAAGATCGAGTGGAAATCCAGAAAAAGATCAGGTTTTTGTCCAGTTTTTCTGCCTTTTGTTCTTCTATCTTCTCTCTTGTCTCTTTGTGCTGAATTTTTGCTGTAATTCAAGTGCCTGGGTTTTAAGCACATACCCTTTACGCCATGGTTGAAGATTTATTTACCAGTTTCTGGTTTTCTTTCTTGAAACTGTATTTTAGAGATCTAGACTGGCAGAGCCTCGGTCTTGTGATCTTACTCTTACTGTCTCAAAATTTAGGAAAAATGTCAGTGATGAGTTCGTCACTAAACATGTCATTGCTCTTCACAAGATCGAGAAATGATATGTGTCTTATTAATAGCATGACTATCAGTTACAAGGTTCAAACAAAAAAAAAACTTTTGTCAGAGCTTTCGTCTGGTTCGTTTGATGGCGGGGTTTACTTCTGTAGATACAGTCTATACGTTCATGTTGATGTTATATATCAGATCCCCGAGCATTATTAACTCGTCTTCTCCGGCAGCAGCAGTGAAACCAGACAAGACAACGGAAACTGTTGAGAATGAAACACCAGAGAAGAAGGAAACAGCGATGGAAACCGAGAAGGTGGTGGAACCAATGACCACAACCCCTGTCCTTTCCGAGCGTAGAAGAGCTCTCTTCCAGCCGCTTGAACCTGTAGAAAACATCAACGGGAAACGGCCATCGGCCGAGACATTGCTGCCACCGCCAGACTTTGAATCTGCAAACTACCCGAAAGGATGGTTGGTCGGGAAGAAGAGGAAGTTGGTGAACGTTGATGTGGTTGAGAGTATGAGGAGAATTGCTGTCCAAGAAATGAACAGAAAGGTAGATGGAAATTGAACTGAAAAGGGTGGTCGGATGACTTAATGACGGTTGGTTGATGAGAAAACCTAAAATTTCAATTCAAGAAACACCACTTTTAGGTATGAAACTTGGCTAAACGTTTCTGTATGGATGTAGGATTCAACTAACATGTTCGTATTCATATTCGTATTCTGCAGGATCGGGAGATAGATGGGTTAAACGAGCAGTTAGAGGAAGATTCCCGGTGTTTGGAACATCTGCAGCTTCAGCTACTGCAAGAACGAAGCAAACGAACAGAGGTCGAGAGAGAGAACACAATGTTGAAAGAGCAGATTGACATGTTGATGAACATGTTACACGAAGAAGAACCTATTGGAGACAACGAAGAACTAGATGAACCCTAGCTTTTGTCCAAGCATCTGTCTTTACCTATATATCGTCTGTCTTGTTTGTTTATTCTTTGTAGATTTGTTGGTCCAAAAACAGACAAAAAAAAAGAAGCTTAGAAATTGTGGTCCTGCGTCGTTTCTGTAAAATTCAACGTTATACCCATGAAGAACGTCTGAGTGAAACAGAACTTGTATAAACCATCCGTTCCCTATTTCTTGAATTCGGACAAAAAGTAATATGTCGGAAGTCATCAGCCAAGATTTGCAGATCACAAGAGATGCAGTAATCTTCCAAGTTCTTTGGAGAATCCAAGGGAATACAGTGTTTCAGAAACACGACGAGATATATGTGATCATATAAATACGCCCGTTATATTACTAAAAATTTTCTCGTGAGTTTCTGCTATGAATGAAAGAATCGTACAATGAAATATACAGTCGAGGAATTCGAATCCATTGTTAGCTTTTGCATAACAAACCTGCATGAACATGAAAGAGAAGAGATGCTTCAGATTCACAAGCGCAAAGTTCCATCCATCCTGCTTCTCGTCAACAGAGAGTTCTCTGGTTATTGAAAGCATAAACACGAGACAACCTTAAAACATCCCCCACCCGAGAAGTTTGTCTAACAAAGTTTCGATTTTTATTATCAGAGATCCGATCTGTGAATCACGCTCATGGTTTTCGGGCAAATCACTACATTACAGACATTGACAGGCAGAGAGCAAGTTTCATTGAATTATCATTCTTCTTTCTGATGGAAAACACTAGTCAGACTAAGATTACCATTGAGAGTTGCGTGATATATCCGTTTGTCGTTAAGTCCCAAATCCGACAGAATTAAGTTACCCTGCAGGCACAAGAAAAACAGGCGAAATGGGTATCTACGAAATCAAAAACCGACGACGAGTATTATCTCCGTTCAAATCCGTGAAAATAAAACAATACCTCTGAAGCCATTAATCTCCGGACATTACTAGCATAGAGTTTTGGGTCATCTTTCTCTTCCTGGGACGGGTAATATACAGGTAAGTGTATCACCTCCATGTGGTTCACAAACTGACAGAGAAGAAAAATCACATGGCGTGCCTGCAAAGAACATGAATGAAAGAAACAGACTCTTGTAATCTCAACAAAGTAGCTCACATTCTCTAGCAAGAACTTCAAGAAACCATGAGGAATTGTTAAGAGAGAGATCCTCACCCCAGATATTGTATCCCATGCAAGGCTGAAACGCCGATAAGGATATTTTAGAATCACGGGAAGAACAGGAGTCCCAGCCAAAAAAGCACCTGTCTTGAATGTAAGCAAGTAGTCCCCATTGGTAGTTGTCCCTTCTGCGGTGAAACCAAATAACAAACTTATAAGATATGATTCTTTGTTTTGTAAGTGTATCGATCAGGCATGTTATATAACAAGTTAGGGCAGCCATCTTTAGGGTTCTCTAGTGCCGGTTACTTTATTACAAGAACACATTTAACCTGGGTAAAGCATAATGGTTGGAGCAGATTTATTCTGGTATGCTTCTCGGACTCTTTCATTTACAGTGCCTGTAAAGACCAAAAAACGATCAGATATATACTTCAAAGACTATGCAGAGCGGCAATTGAGTGCAGCCAAAAAAATTGGACAAGTTCATCTAGAAAATTTTGTGATCAGAAACATGCAGGCAAGACAACTATTTTCAATTCATATCGGCTACGTACCAGATACGCCCTTGAAGTCGGGTGATTTTGCTTCTCGCTGAACGTAGACACAGCCAAGACATTTGCTGTCAGAGAAAGAAAACAAGCGTTGAGAGATAATGACCAATTTAAGAAAATGCTGGGATGTCCAGAAGAAACACACGAGTTAATTACAGGAACAACCGATGTATCCTTTCATACCCAAATAAAAGAAAAAAAACGATGTTACGAGAATTGTATCTATCATCACAAGAACTCCAATAAGTTGTTCAATGCATACCTGATGATGCCAACAAGAGGAAGTTTGCCCACTGATCTCTTCATCAGAAAAAAGAGCCAATGACACAAAATTAATGCCAAAACACAATTAGATATAATCAACAAAAAAAGTGCAGAAAAGAACATAAACAGAGCCTCCGCATAAGGCATACTAGAACCTTTGCAACGAAACTCGGAAAAGAAGAAGACATATGATACAAAATGTCCAGATACGACACGTGATTAGATACTATAGCTCCTGGTCTTTCAGGTTCCTCAGCTTCGTCATTCTCGCCATTCTGCCACCATAAGAAAAGCTGAACATGAGTTATCCGTAGAAGAAGCACAACCTTGAACCTTATAGCTCACCTTCACCAACAATGAGGACTAAAAAGGAAAAGACTGTATAGTTCCTGTCTCAATAAATTTTGCAACAACCTAAATTCTCTTCTTCTGCCTAATTTTCTTGAAGTACAGACTCTATCAATAAATGTTCGAAAGCTAGTTCCTTTTACAATAAAATCCAACTCCCGGTTTCATCCCAACTATCAGCAGTTATACCTTGTCAGAAGTAGTTTTGGGTTTAGAATCCATGGTCGAATCTCGATAACTCTCATGAATCCAATAGAATCCGAACACGAAGAGCAAAACCCTAGACAGAAATCTCCCACATCGGACTATCACAGCCCTTTTCCATCCTCCCAAGTGAGCATAATCTTCCTGCACCACAACTCCTTCCTCTTCCTCTTCCTCTTCCTCGGCCTCACGATTCGGGGCCGAGAACATTGTACAAACCCTACATATCGAGTAATACATAAATAGAACGCTCATCACCAGGAGGAACCGCAATGGAACAAGAGTCACCATCGCCACTGCGATTTTAATCCTCTCCGTCACCGGAAACGGACCCAGACCCATCGTCCCGTACAAATCCTTTCTCGCGAAAGGCGCGAACTTTTTATCGAGCTCTTCAATGGCGACCGCGGTATCGGAATCCGATTTGAGCAAGGGCCGTTCCTCTTTGCTCGACTGCGGATTCGAATTCACATCCTTGAGCTCCGATTCCATCTTCTCTAAACCCAAAATCGCAATTTTATCCCGAATTAGGTCATCAGGAGTTCGAAATTACAAAAGGGAAATTGGGTTCATCTGTCTGGATGGCGAGAAAATAGATCATAGATCTGGGAAGAATGTCATCGTTGATAACTCTTAGATTTCCCCTGTAGATTTCAGCATTCGTTTATGCTTTGGACTCGCCAAAAAAACTGAAACAGAGGTTCTGATTTGGTGCGACAACCCATACGGTAAAACAATGTGGACAGTATCTATTGACCGTCAGATGCAAACAAGGAACAATAACTTAACGGCGATTAAGATTTTATTATTTGGATAATCCCAAAGTTTTGCATCCGTGATGACAATCATTAAATGCGTCAAAGAGTCCAAAACTGATCATAACACAACTCTCAGTTGGAAACAAATTCCAACCACTTTTTTTTAAAAAACACTCTTTTGTTTCTTTATCAAAAAATCATAGAACTATTCTAAAATTATGAAAATGTAATTATTTTTATATTTATTAAAAATTATAAAATTCGAAATCATAGGTATAAGATGCGATTTCAAATATCAATAACTCTGAAACATCCTAAAAAATCTGGTTCCCGTCCTGTCCAACCACTGCATCAAATGGATCAAGCTTCTGCGCCTAAGAGAGCAGACATCTCAACGTTGTCAGATTCCAGAACAGCTTCGCCTGTTCTGTTCTTCAACATCTCTGTCGGAAGAACGAACGAGTTTGGATCAGAATTCGGAATCAAAAACACCAATCCGATCGGAATCAGCCTCAACAAACTCCTGATCACGATAGCCAACCAGAGATTATCAAACTCCGTACGCGTAACCTTCAAGCCATGAAGTAAAATCCCTCCGCCCCACGAGGAGATAAAGTGTCCAACATGGTCGATCGACATGAGCAACGCAAAGAACGTTCCCTCCATGCCAGAAGGGCAAAGCTTGGAGCTCAGAACCAGGAGAGGCAGCCACTTGATTCTACTGATCATACGAGAGACCACCTCGTCTATGACGATGAAGAAGTAATCTGGAATACCCATCTTCAGATTAACGCGGAGGACTAATACCAAATCCAGAAGTCCGGATAGAACCGAGAGGGAAAGTGCCCAGAAGATCACGTTCCGGAAAGGGAAGTTCTTTAGAAAGTTTTGGTAAAGAAGTATACCCACAAGGGAACCAACAGCTCCAAATGAGAGAATGGATCCAACTGCTTCCTGTTCATCAGAAATTAACCTAAAACATTAGAGAGATCTTTGAAACTGTTGTCGAGATTCTCCGTAGAAGGAACTTGAGGCTCAAAAACCGAAAATGTGTGGAAAGGATGGGAAAGTTTTTTTTTTAATAATCCGAAAATTCACTGAACATCTGGTCCAACTACATCTCCCAGAGAACCAGGAAAGTCTCAATACACGTCTCCACGCTTGGGTTTGAATACAGGGTCAGAACATACTTTGCATATTATCTTATCACTAAACCATCCAAACTTGGGTGAAAGAATCGGAAAGTTGACCCTACCTTTGAAAATAAAGGCCCGTCCTTTGAATCTGTGTACCAATAGAACATGCCTTCATGGATGTGCAAGCTCAATGCAGCGGACAAGAACAGAAACAAGCATGGTCTCCACACCTCGCCATATTGAAAAGTTTTCCATATTGATTTTCCAGCCTCCATGAACTTCTCATTCACCTGATGGCAGAGATATTCGATTAGAAAACGGTATATTAAATACGGTCGGACCAAAGGGTACCACAAAGTTACCCGCTTGCGACCTAAACTTCGAGAAGGAGATTCGTTCAGAAGCATCCCGGCCATAACAACTAATCCTGCTGTCAAACTGAGTAAACCATACACGCCCTGCCAATAACGAGTAAATTGTAAAGAACCGAAAACACAGTTTAGTCTCGTTTAACATAACAGAGAAAAGAAGATCTACCTTGGGGCCGAATAAGTGTACCAAAAGGCCACTTAGAGATAAACCCACTAAAGATCCTACCGAGGAGCTTATGCCACATAAACTTTGCATATCGCTGGCAAGTGAGGGATTGCTTATGCTACATTGCGTTACACAAGCGTCAATCGTTACATCTGCTACCGCAACTCCAGCACTTCCTGCCACAAGAGAGGACAATGCCAATGCAAGATCCAGATTCCTGTGCAGCGACAGTACCAGCATAGAGATCATAGCGAGAAGGCCTGCAACAAATCGTTACAAGGCCTGAAGGTTAACCATCTCCATCATCTTCGGGCGAAACATCACGAGGCGGGATTATTAAAAGGAGTGATTATTGATTAACTCATACAATTGCTCAGCATATTCCCCGAACGATGAGAACTCGAGCCTAGGACAAGAAACCAAACTACTCATTGACTGGAATCAAGATGTCCTATCAGTGTGATGGTGAGAATTTGATGAACAACATCAGCCATAAAACCGCACACGGGTATTATAGCAACTGCCTACTGAATCTTATAAAAGGTTCTAAACTTCAGATTATTTTCACAATCCTGAGTCAATTTGAACCATTAATAGTATAAACCGAAACTTCTAGTTGTCAATCATGAAAATACCATTATCGCAACAGATTCAAGAACAGTGGTAAGTGAATCGAGTACTTTCTTTCAAGAACAGTGAAAGAAGCAGAATGGTGACTGTTCCATAGGCAATGACGTGAAATTTTACCGGCGAAAATGAAATACGGCCGTCGCCGGTAACCCAGAACCGGAACAACATCAGTGAACAATCCCCAGATTGGTTTAACGATCCAAGGGATCTGAATCACACCAACGTACACCTGTGCTTCGGAGGGTTGTACTTTTTGCTCATCCTTCAAGTAGTATTGCGTGCTGACTTTGCTGAGGCCATGGCCAAGTCCTTGGCTGACGCCATAGACGATGATCACACCCAGGAAGAAACTCCAATGGAGCTCGTCAATCAACATTCTTAGCCACCGCACGGGCCGTCGCAGGATCAAATCTAGAAGCCCTTCTTGCTTCTGCTGGTGGGTTCTCCTCGAAACGTCGTCGTGCTGACGAGGACTGGTCTCCATCCCTGCTTCCTCCGCTCGGTCCACTACTGAAGCGAAGAAGAAATTTAGGGTTTTGAGGGATGAACGGAGAAGCAGAGGGGATTCGGCGTCTTGGGTCGATGGGCATCACTCGAATCGATTTCCAATCTATGCACGTGAATCGAAATCTGGAAAACTTTTTTCTCCTACTAATTTGTTCCGTTGTCTATGTTATTGCAGCCGCCTGCTGACGGCACGAATGAAGTCACACTCGCACACAAACAAGAAAGCATGAACATTTTTTTATTTCTGTAAAGTATCAAAATGTCAAAAGTCATTGTATCAGATTTTTGTAATTATTATCAAATTTCAATCTTGTTTCTGCCTTGAAATGTCTTCAGTAGGGTGTTGAAGATCAATCTACAGTTCCCACCTCACTGTTTGAACAAGAACATTGTTCTGACAAAAAAAAAAACTCGTTTCACTTCGTGCAAGTATTCTGAATCTCTGGTTGTCTGCTTCATGACAGTTCCGTTCTTCGTCAAGGGATGAAGCGATCGGACGAGACCGTTCATTCATGAAATGAAAACGACAGGACATGAATGGTCGAGGCTGTTCTAGCCTCCATTAATGGCCCGTTTGAACACCGAAACAGAAGATAAATTTAGGAGGGAATGAGACATGAGAGTTTAAATTTATGTTTGACTCTCCTTTTTTTTTTTGCAAAAGGGGAGAAGGAGAGGAAGCTATAGAGTTAATTTCAATTCTTCAGATGAATTCTCGTGCTTTTTTCACATAAATGCGTGTAGTTAATCATATTTTTTTTTGCTAACATAGGGAAAACGTTTTTAAATAGTTATTTTTAAAATTGGTTGGTAGTTGATATGAGTTTAAAGTTTTCGTTTTCTTACCATATAAAAAGCATTTGAAACTCGTTCTTTAAAATTGATTAGTTGGTTGATGTTATATAATATCAAGTTTAAATATTTACGTCTGAATCTAAATTCAGCAAACTGTCGACTTTTTTTTTTTGGGGGGGGGGGGGGTAAGAATATGCAAACAAAGTTATATATAATCGTAATGTTGTAACATTTTTGGAGCAAAATATCATATCATAGTTACATTTAATTCATTACAAAGCATGTGAAATGTTAATGTAGAAGGTATATACATTTTTACATAAGCACAGTACTGTAACCATGATGAAATAGAAATGTTTTTATTGTTTATTATTCGAGTCAAAGCAGGGCCATAATCTAAAGTTACATGCTAATTCTTAAACCCATGTGAAACTTGAAATCTTTGTGATCGTATTACGTGCGACTTTTTCTTTCTTTCAATTTTTACATCAATATACGTGATTATTAATTAGTCCCAACCAATGTATATCAATATTTTAAAAAAAAATTGTTTGCTTAATGATACCAATCGCACAAGTTTTTATAAATTTAGTATCTTATGAATGTGCAATTTAAAAAGGATATTTTTAAAAATAAAAAATATTTTAGATTTAAAAATATCTTCCAAATTCTAATCTACAATATCTTAACAAATAATTTAAAATACAAAGGAATAATAGATTTTTTAAAAGATTTGAAATCTCCTCTTAAGTTTTTTTAAACATTTCTAAAAATATTAAATGCAACAAAACTACACATGTAACTACTAATGGTATTATTTTTGACACCGTATTGTGTTAGAACCTAAATAAATTTTAAAATAAAAATATTGCATATGTTTAAAAAAAAACTCTTTTTTTTTTTCACATAACGTTCTAAATAAATCCGACAGAAGCCGGAACCCATCACTAGACTTTTGGAAGTATTCTGCTTCTGTCGGGTTTCCTGTGTTTTTTATTTCATGACAGAAGTTGATCTTAGGATGTTTTATATGAAAAATAAACATAACTATCGTAGTAAATACATTAAAATAATATGCATATAGTTATAGTTTTAATTTTATCCATATTTTCACATAACCCGTGTACATTCGATTTTGCGAATACCCGTAAATTGGAGTACCCACTGTTCCCACCCCCTATAAGAAGTATAATTAAGAGAACCCCAAACGAAATATAAATGACAATTATAATAACGAAAGCAATATTAATAGCCATTGAACCAAAAAAAGAAAAAAAAAGGAAAGTGCGTATATTTTTTTCTCTTTGATTTAAATACTCTACCGGTTCCCACGTATTATCTCCCTAAGCCCCTCACTTCCCCTCCTTCTTCTTCTTCTTCCCTTCTACTTCTTCCGTTAATGGGAAAGGTTTCTCGCCGGAGCAAGAAGACCGTCGACGAGTCGGGAGGCGCGATGGCTTCCGCGTCCGCGTCCACGGGTCAGAAAGCCAAACGCACGCGGCGTTCTCTGCCGCGAGACGCTCCTCCGCAACGCAGCTCTGTCTACCGCGGCGTCACCAGGTGTCCCTTCCTCTCCCGCGGCGGCGCCGTTTTGCCGACACGTCCCTTCTTTCACGTAAAATAAATAATATTTTCCCATTGTGTTAATTATTTTTTTTTTCCAATTAATTAATTTGTAGGCATCGGTGGACGGGCCGATACGAAGCGCATTTATGGGATAAGAATTGTTGGAACGAGACGCAGAACAGAAGAGGAAGACAAGGTCGGTCTTTACATGCATATATATATATATATGCATACACATACATATTATATATGTGTACATAATTATAAAGAAAACATAGTTAATTTTTTTTTCTGATTAGATTTGGTCATGATGAAAAAATCCGGAACTCCATTTTCTCCTGGGAGTTCGTAGTTAGCGTTCTCTTGAATTTTTATTTTATTTTTTATATATTTTTTTTTCTTCATTTTGTAATGATCTCGTGATGCTGATGGGCTTGGAATTGGGCGATAAATGCTGGCTCATCAAGCGCAGTATATTTAGGTGAGTTTACCCATATCCGTTTCATTTTTATATTTTATTTTTTCATTCATATTCTAAATAGGATTACAATAAATAATTATATTTATTTGGTTGCAGAACATTGGATCTCCCCCATGTCTAGATTATCCCTCTAATTTTAAGATATTTTATTTTAGAAATATAATTTCAATTTTCAATTTAGAATGTGAATACATTGTATCTAGAGAGATGAATGAATTAATAAAATAAAATAAAAATCCCATATAATCTCTCAAACAATTTTTTTAGAGATAATAGAGACTATTTCTTTTTTTTTTTTGTAATTTCTATTTTGGGTATGGATATAGGGGCATATGACGACGAGGCAGCAGCAGCACGTGCTTACGACTTGGCGGCATTGAAGTACTGGGGACGAGACACCATCTTGAACTTCCCTGTAAATTTTCTCGGAATCCAAACAGAAAAATTAGGAAAGGAAAAAAAAACGCCCCATGCATGATCTTTGTTGTCGACGACAGTATGCATTACGTGTTGTCGGAAAGGAATGTGATGTTCATAAGCTTTTGTTCTTTTTCTTTGGTGTAATCTTAGGTGGCCAGCTATGAAGATGACCTAAAAGAAATGGAAGGTCAGTCCAAAGAAGAGTACATCGGGTCTTTGAGAAGGTATTTTATAGTTATTATTAGTAATTCAATCGATAATTTTTAATTTAAAAACTTGTAATCGAATTAATTAGTTAATCACGGTCTTTTAATTATACTTTTGGCACAGGAAAAGCAGTGGATTCTCCCGTGGTGTATCAAAGTATAGAGGGGTTGCGAGGTAAAAATCTTAAATAAATATAATACTAATTGGGGTAGGATAGATATTTTTGGTCTTGATACATTAAAATTCAATTACAAACGAATAAAATGTAACTATATTTGAACTGAATTCGATCTAAAACTATATTATATAACAGTAGTTTTAGAATTAAATTAATTGAATTCAAATCAAATACGAAAAAACCAAACATTTATTTATGCGTAATTTTTTTTCTTAATAAAGCCCAAATTGAATTGAAAATTGAGATAAACAACTAAATGGATATAGTTAAAATATTTGAAAACCATTGTGTTTAAAATTGAATTACACATTTGTAATTATATAATGTTTTTATGTAAATTTGCAGGCATCACCATAACGGGAGATGGGAGGCTCGAATTGGAAGGGTATTTGGCAACAAGTATCTATACCTTGGAACATATGGTATTTCAATTTCTTCTTTATTTCTACCTTTTTTTTCCTAGTTAACAACTAGCACGGAAGTTCTTAAGAAGTCTGTATTATTCCCCAAAGTTTTTAAATGTTCAATTTACACCCCCTTTCCTGACAGCTACGCAAGAAGAAGCGGCCATAGCATACGACATCGCGGCCATAGAGTACCGCGGACTTAACGCCGTTACCAACTTCGATCTCAGCCGTTATCTCAAATTCCTCTCGCCGGGAAACCTTACCGACGGCAAGCTTCATCTTCCGGCGAATCCAAATTCCGACACGAACCCGTCTTCCGACCCGAGCCATCATCATGAGTCCGAATCATCACAGGAGCAGACATCATCGTATTCTCCTTCGGTGGCGAGGTTCTTGCTGTCGCCTTCGAAGGTGAAGGAGATCATCGAACCATTGACGCCGGCGGAGATTGCTCGGCCTGGCCGGAGCTTCCCGGGAGATATTCAGACGTACTTCGGCGGTCAAGATCCCGGCAAGCTGATGACGGAGGAGGACGTGATTTTCGGGGAGTTAGATTCTTTCATTTCGCCGGAGTTCTACAGCGAGCTTGGGTGATTGTTCAAGAGTACTTTCTGGATTGGATATTCTTTTCAGATCCCTAAAAGAAAGAAAAACAAATCTGGGAATATCAAAGGATTGATATTGATAATGTTTTTATATGCTTCCAATAAACATCACGTGCATCAATTATTTTGTTTTTCTTGAGTGAATTGTGTGATACAGTCAAAGAAATTGGTGTGACTCAGATTTAAAAAAAAAAAGTCAAATAATTATTCCTAAAACAAGAAAGGAAAATAAGAAACAAAAATGGAGTAAACAAAGAGTTTGTTTTTTTTTATTCATTGCACACAGCTTATAAGCCTTATTTTTTATTGTAAAACACATAGAAATGAAAAAAAAACACAAAAAACAATTTTATTCAATAACTGCCCTTTTTATTTATTTATTTAATTGGATAAGGCAAAACCCAAATGGCCTTCACTTTATTCAGAAATAAACCGACATTATGGTTCCCCCACGGCTCTCTCTCACTCCATCATCGAATCCGCTATTGGAAATGTGGGAGCTATATCAGTCGGTACCTACATACAAAGACACTTTGAATCAGTAAGATCATTATAAAAGATCACACCTTTAACCATTTCATTACAAAAAGGTTGTACCTTTAACGAACGATTCTATTAAAAAAAAAAGATCCCACCTTTATACTCTCAAGCTTATCCAGAGCTGTCTTCAATGGCTTTGTTATAGTGCAGTACTTGTCAAGAAGCGATGATGCTGCGTTTTTGTCGCCTCTTGCTTGTATGGTGAGTATCTCGTGGCTTAGACTCTCAACCCCGTCTTCCACCTTTTGAACATTATCAAGATTCTTATGTTTGTTTTCAGGGTCTCGGAGATTACAGTGTTGGGAAGTTATTTGACAGAGTTCACGTACGTACCTTTGCGAAATCGACGGAGAATGTGTTATCGTCGTGGAAAACGAAGGCGCCCTTCTCGTATAACCAGTTGAATTGCAGCGCCTGTCCTTTACTGAAACGTTTTCGGGGGGAAAAGAGAACGGAAACAGCGATATCAGTAGCTATGCATACGGACTGGTTTAAGGATAAGATGGTCGATAAATTATTACCCGTGAGCTTCTGTGAGGCCAAACCGGACAGAGCGGAAGCACCCTGCTAGGAAGGAAACATACATGGTCTCTTTCATAGCCTCTGAAAGCAAACCCTGTCAAGACAATATCGGTCCCGGTGACTAAACAAATTTTGGGTTCTGTTCCGTTATATTCGGGTTCGACCATTTCGATATTAAGAAAACTACGACCATTCGATTTTTATATTGTTTTCCGTTTAGGTTTTGGTTTTTGTTGACAAAAACACTCATTTTTTAAGAAATTTTTTCTGTTATTTTTTTTCCCAGTTTGGTTTGGTTCGGTTCGAATTCAATTTCTTTAAAGAAATCATAGCATTCAGGTTTTATATCATATTCGGTTCAAATTCGGTTCGATTACGGTTGTGTTGGTGCGATTACTCGGTTATTAACCAAATTAGTAACCCCTAATCTAACCTATGCTTTATAAGTTGGAATCAGATGTAAAAATTTCCCTTAAACAAGTAAAGTTAAAATGGACCTTGGTGATGAGAAATTTCAGTGCCCAAAGACCGGCGATGTCTGCTTTCGCTTCTTCCATAGCAGAATGGAGTTCTTGCAGTTCCTATATTTAAAACAAAAAATAAAAGAATTAGGACACTGAGTAGAACATGTAAAAACTAGACTTTATAGTTAGTTTCCCCGTTGTACAGGATCATAGATGAAAAACAACGGACCTGTCTGACAGTAGAAGTTCGGCCGTCGGGAAGAGTGATGGTATGAGGACCGATCCCGTGGCAGCACTCGTGACAAATGGTATGCGTGAAGTAAGAGTCGAAGTCAACAAACTTCCTCTGTTCTTCGCTGATGCAGATTTCGGCTATCGGCTTAAGAATATGCTTGAACCTGCCATGGAAATGTTAAGTTTACACGACTACGGAAACTTTGGAAAATGTGACACCGGAGCATATGGAGGAAAAACGATATTTACTTCGCTTCTTGAACGTTCTTTAGCATAACCATCGACGTTCCTCTTGCTTTTACGATCCGTTCATCGTTCGGTAAATTGTAGGCAACAATTTGAGGACCCCTCACATCCTGGCTCATGATATCCAGATAAATTAACATCAAAGGAGAATGATAAAAAAAGGTTTTTTCCTATACTAGAACCATGCTTTAGTTGAAAAAAGTCATGAAATTTGTATGGAGACACTTACTCCTGCATTGTAAATTAGCTGGATGACCCGGATCGGAGCAGCAGTTACCTCTTTCGATTTGTACATATTGTCGAGCGGAAGATTTTCTTCCAAAAGCTACAACATAAAATCGGTGTTTTCGTGGGAGAAACCGAAAAAAACGTAAAAAGGTTCGACGGCTGGGACAAGAGTAGCATATACCTTTAGATTGTCCCCGAAGAGTTTGAGATCGGATGTGGCTTTATCGTCTCGAATTCCAATGAACGCTTCAAACGTAGCCTTAATTATATGAATCACAAAAGATTAAAAACACCTCTTGTGCAGAGTGTAGTAGATTGGCTCTAAGCGACTGAGTTTAAGTATAGATTGCAATGTAAGCTATTTTTACCTTGTATCCGAAGAGTTCGTCTTGGTATGTCTCGTAAGGACCGATAGTAATATCCAATTTCGAATCCTGCAGAATAAGAATTGAAACGTTCTCATCATCCAAACAACTCGATATAGCCACAAGGGATCGGATAAAGTGTGTTACCAAATCCATCCATGCGATGTCCGATTCGTAGTAGTCGTTCGAGAGAAAGGCATCAGCCTTGCTGTGTAGAAGCTTCTTCAAACTATATAAAAGAATAAAACATGAAATCACGTCTTTCTTTTATTTTTTTTGCAAAGGTAAGAAACCGAAATGCAATATACCTCGGTGAACTAGATAGGTCTCCGGCTTTGTGCAACAGTTCAGAAGCTTTTACGAGGAAAGGACGATATATTTCCGAATAGGGAGTGCTATAGAGACCCGAATTAGAGTCTGACAACCTATTAGCTTCACCTTGTCTCCTTATAACACTGAAAAACCCCGTGACATCATGTTTTTGCTCTTCCTCGAGACTGTTGAGCCATGACGTAAACTCCTAAAAGATTTCAAGAACACAATTGTTACTGTTGAAATGAAGAAAACATCAAAAAGAAAAAAGATAAAATAACCTCGTTTGTCGTTTATTGCTACATCTCTTATCTTGTTTTCTTTATTTAAAGAGTTACTACGGGTTATAAGAAAGAGGAGGGGGATGGAAAAACCAGAGGGCGGACAAAAATTTTCGGCACAAGTAAGGATAGATGTACGTGGTGAGTACTTACTGCTTTATCCATGTCGGGAGGATAGAAGTTAGCGCCGGGAGGCTTGATCAAAGGAAACGCTGCTCTATATTCAAGGCCCTTCCATCCAGCAATCGACTTTGTTGCATCAGGACACAACTTCACCGCCGAATCTGCAGTAGTCAAGAATGCTTCATTTTCATCGAGGGAAGACCTACATGAATATATGTAACATGAAATATTAGTACCAGATGAATATATATATATATATGAAAAATAAAAAAAACACACTAAAATTTTAAATTTTGACAAAAAATAAACACTGGACTTTTATTTTATCAAATAAATATTAAACTTTTTAAATTTAACAAAATAAACACCTATCTCTTCAACGATTGTCAAAATAAACAAAATAACTGACATGATACAATGAGATGCAAACACGTCAGGTTATTTTATTTAGTTGTTTTGACAATCGAAAAAAGTTCATATATTTTTTTGGATCACTAAAAAGGTTCAATATTTTTTGACAATCGAAGAAAAGTTTATGTATTTTTTGGATCGCTTAAAAAATTCTATGTTTTTTTAGATTCATTTAAAAAATTTAATATTTATTTGACAAAAAAATGAAGTTCGATGTTTTTTTTAATCGAAGTTGAAAAGTTCAGTGTTGTTTTGGGGATTTTACCATATATATATATATATGGCTTCTTTTTATTGTAATAATACTACATATTCTCCTAAAACAAACATCAATGTTCGAAATTTTGCCGAATTAGGGTATTGGAATGTGAGTGAGTAAATTCACGGAATTCAGACATTGGAAGTGAATTTTAGTACATGGCCCCAAAAAATGAAATTTTCTAATTTAGCATAGGAAAAATTCCAAAAAAAACACACTAAACTTTTTAATTTTGACAAAAAATACTGAACTTTATTTTTTGTCAAATAAACATTAAATTTTAAAAAAGAATATAAAAAATACTGAACTTTTTAAATGATCCAAAAAATATATGAACTTTTATGGGATTATAAAAAAAACACTGAACTTTTTTAGTGATCCAAAAAAATACATGAACTTTTTTCGATTGTAAAAAAAACTAAGTAAAATAATTTGACGTGTTTGCATCTCGTTGTACTACATCGGTCATTTTGTTTATTTTAAATGTTTGTTTTATCAAATCTAAAAAGTTGAATGTTTGTTTTATCAAATCTAAAAAATTGAATGTTTGTTTGATAAAATAAAAAGTTTAGTGTTTTTTTGTCAAAATTTAAAAGTGGAGTATTTTTTTTTGGGATTTTCCAGCATAGCATATGGTTAGCTTAGATGATAATCACCATGGACACTTGTTGATGAGGAAGTATGCCCATTTCAGTTTATCCAGTTCTGATGCATTTGCACTCTCCTTCAGCCAATCTCTTAAAGCTGGATTGTTGCACCAAACCTGATTCATAGAACAACATATCACACTGATCATGGAGAATATCGTAACTATGGTAATAATCTAATACTCATTATGCCCCTCAATGAACTAAATCCGATCTAAAAAGAGCATGGAATATGACATATCATATCGACAAACAGAGAGAAAATTCTCTTAAAGCTTTGTAGATCCAGAAAACCTGCTCGTAGAATATGTCATCGACAATTTTCGCAGCTTTCACAATTAGACGCAGCGCCTTTTGATCCGCCTCGGAAAGTTCTGTCAACTGCGTCTAGGAATACGAGGAATCTATCTCAAAAACACCAAAAACGATAAATAGTCCATATGATAAAGATCGCAAAGTCGAGACCTGTGCTTCAAGTGTGACAGGAGCATATCTCTGGAGTTGCTTCTGCAGAGATAAACTACGTTCCTCGGTGTTCACTTGGTACCTTTTTTTTTTATCACAATCAAGGAGAAAAACCCATGTACGTTAACAATATTCATTAGACCGGACATAATTTACTCGTGATGTACATACCTTCGCTTGATTATGCCAAATATTTGGCCGTAATCTCCATTTACGTCATGTGGCACGTAAGAAGGATCTTCCTTAGCCAGAAGACTTCTGTATTCTTCGTAAGATATGTATTTTATAGCGGAGACTTCCTCATCCTATCAAAAAAGAAAAAGAAAAAGTTTTAAGATAAAAGGAGAGATTTCTATAGGATTACATTGAGGCAATGATAATTCTCACCTGAAGTGCAAAGGCCTCCAATGGAATCGGATCCAGAATTGTAACGAGATACACATCATTGAACTCGTTATTCACGTATTTGCCATCGTTGGTGACACTGTGCGTAATAGAAGAGCAGCTTGTATTTTTATAATATGGTATTCCAAATTGGATTTTGGAGACACCAAATCATATTCTGCTTAGGTAAGGCCAAAGAGATGTGAAAATATATATCAGCTGTTGAAGTGAGATGGAATGAACAAACCCTTGTTGCAGAGAGGCAGATATCTTTTCAAAGGCATCCTTTGGAAGTTCTATGCCCAGCTCCTCCTGAAGCCCCTGCCTGGACAAAACACACGAAACATGTTGAAGGAATCATCTTTGTTTCTCTTATCCAAAATGGACGAACGATCAATCATATGAGTGGAGCTAGATCCACTTACTGGGCGGACATAAGCGACGAGCCACCAGCTGGTATATGACAGCTGGAGATGTCCCACTGAGCTGGCCGTAAATCTTTTTTCTCAGGACGGCGTCGGAGGAGAAGTTCTTGCGTACTCTCTACGAAAATCCAGACATGAACTCCCCTACAAGAACACATTTTGATACATAAGACATAATATGGGAATGATGTATATCACAGAAAGCAAAATGGCTACAAGCCACTTCTCAGTGCACAGATCATAAAATGGCATTGAGGCTGTTTACAGAAATGTTTCGTTTTGTCAAAAAATTTCGTAAATGCAATAACTGAATCGAATTTCTCTGAACTCGTTGGGTGTTGGTTTAGGTTTCGTATTCAGATTCCTTGTTTCCTTTTCCGCAGTGATGTATCTGCTTACGAGTCTGATTGGCCAAAGGGCATAAATGGTCTATAATCCACAACCACATGTTTTGTCCTGAAGGAGACTGAGTGGGGTATTTCCCCTGAAGGGTTTTGATTGGTTGACGGGTCAGAGATGAATCAAACCAAAGAGGAAAGAAAAGGGTGGAAATTTCTGACAAGGACCGAGTCTGTCACCGTACAGACAAAGATTCGGTAAAATATCTCAATTAATTTATGTACGAATAGAATTTCAGGGCTTTGATGGGGGTATAGCCAAATTACGAAAACACAAGCCAAAAGGGAATCTTTTTTTTTTTTTTACACCACATGCCTGGGTTTGGACACGCCGTTCTTCTCGCCGGTTTTGTTCAGAACGTCGATTTGATCGCCCCCCATCTCTCTCTCTCTCTCTTTCTCTCGTGTGTGTTGGTTTGATTGTGTCGATTGGCTTGCGAGTGCCGTATTTATAGAAGGAAAATCTGTGCCGAAATTAAAAACGTTGGGTTATTTCGCCATCTCTCTGAGCTGTGCATGTCCCTTAGGATTGAAGTCTTTCAACTACCGATACCGCTGAAACCGAACCTGATCATTTATTAATTTCATGATCATTTCGATCCATATCTTCTCCTCCATTCCATTTTCAGAAAGAAAAAAGATCTACTTCAATTCTTACACCCTATACTGAAGATCAGAGTCCAAGTGTTGAAGAAAAGGACCCTCTTTTTCTCTTGTTTTTTTAACTTCTTGACACGACACTCTACAGATGCAAGTTCCCTTGCCAGCCGAGTGTCGTGTCGCCGGTGAAGAGGATCACGTTGACCCATTTGGTGCAATAAACGTTTATTTATCCGTGTGATTAAACAGAAAGATTCACCCTTTTGGAATGCCG